GCAGGGAGTAAACAAAACACTTCCCTGCTTAATAAGCCTGTCGTTCATTTTCTCACTCTCCTGCTGGGTCTGTCTTTGTCTTTTTCTTTTTTAAAATGGAAAAATCATTTTGTTGATTTTTTTTTTTCCCTCATTGAAAGACTTTAATGGAAGAAATATTGTGGGATAGTTAGTCTTCTGCCTCCTTTCTCCTCCCTGAAGCTCTGCTTCAATCATATCAAACTGGCTGCAGCCGGGGCTTCGGAACCCAGCTGGGAATAAAACCGGGATGGAGTGGAGCACCACCCTGCCATTTTGCTACCTGGGGCTGTACACGGTGGGGCAGGCTTTGTCCTAGCTCCCAAAACAGTGGTGCTGAGTGTTCTATGTGCAGAGCTTTATGCAAATGCCTACACACTTCTGTGTGCATCCCACCCTGGTCCGTAAAACTGGACCACCAGTGCCTAAGCTGATCAGGAATGGGGAGCCCAGAAAACAAGCCTGCCCAGCCCCTGCCTGCAGGAGTTCTCAGTCTGATGTGCAGAGGAGGTATAGACAGGAGGCCGTGGGGACCGCATTGCTAACAGCTGTGATGAGTGAGGCTTGGGGAAAGTAGGGGAGCTGTGGAGTGATGTGATGGGGATCTGCTCTTCCCTGGATGCTCCGGGTCAAGGCAAATCACTTGAAAAAGGCATTGTTTGGAGCTCTGCATTCACAATCATATTTGCGACTGAACTAAGCGAAGAAAAACAGTGAAGGGTGGGGAAGGGAAGGAGTTAGAAGAACAAAGTAGGCAGCAGCCCTATTTGCAAGCCCTCTACCTCTCAGTGAGTGCTTTCATTATGGAAACCCAGGCCCTTCCTTTCCCTGAGGTTTCTGCACACACTGACAGGAGTGATGCAGAGGCTGGAAGTGCAGGGTGGTAGGACAGACCGATCCTCAGCCTCCGGAAGACGGGCCTTTGAAAGCTCAGCCCTTGGGTCCCTGCTGCGGTGTGCACCACAGCCCCAGCAGCCTGAGCACAGCCTTTCTGCTCACATTGGAGACTAACTTGATGACATCCTGCCCACCTTTGGGTTTGCTTGCATTCGCTGCCAGGACTAAGGCATAGCCATTGTCTTGGTCTTTCAGCTTTTGAAACATTTTCCTCTACTTCCTCTATCAGACAGTATCTAAATGACACCAATAAGTGAAACTGAAGCAGTCAGATCTGTGGCCCTGTTTAGGGTTTGACAATGAATGATAGTGAAGGTGGCTTCCCTGGCCCATCCCGAATGTTTAATTCACTCTTGCGTCAGTGAGCTCACCCCTCATAACTGCCACATTAGCCACCTCACTCTAATAACTTTCCTGGCAAAGGCAGAAGTGACAGCCCAGCCTCAATCGTGACATCACTCCCCAACCCTTTCTCAGCATAGACCGCCTCCCACGGTTTACCATAGCATCTGAAAACACCCGTGGTGCTGAGGCTGGCATTGCCACTTGCAATGATCTGGCCCATGCTGCCTTCTCAGCACCTGCTCCACCCCACCTTCACTTAGTCTATATTCTAGGAAAACTGTATCCACTCTTTCCTGAACATTCTCTGCACCTTCCCACTTCTCTGCTTTTCCTTAAGGAGTTCTGCCACAGGAATACCCTCCACATCTCTACCTGCTGAAATCTCATTGTCCTTCAGGGCACAATGCAAATGTAATTTTCTTCATGAAGCCCTCTGTGATTTCTGCAGCCAAACGTGATTCTGGGCTTCATTATGATTTTTTGAACTTGTGTCTCCTTGTTCATTCCTGACCATGGTTCACACCCTAAGCCCTCATCTTTGATGTGGGTCATCAACTTTCTGGACCAACTTTTTAAAAACAAATATGCATTGAAGGCTTACAGTGTTCCCACTACTTTGCAGATATTGGCAATGGAAAGATGAATAAGAGACTGAATGTGTCTTTGAGGACATCAAAAATCCAGTGGACAGACAGGCAGGTAAACAGCTAATTACAATGAAATGTGCTAAGTGACAGGAACAGGATTCTGGGAGCACACAGAGATGAACAAGGACCCAAACCTACTGAAGTTCCTGGTGTGTGCAAGGAATAGTTGCTAGTCTCTGCGTGGCTGGAGGAAGGACTTGTATAGGGATGCATTGGGAAGTGAAGCTGGAAAACCATGATCCCAGAATGGAAGGGAATTTGTGGGTCAAGCTATATTTCAGGCAATAAGAAAGCATCAGAAATCATGGAGCAGGGGAGGGATGGGTCAGAGCCGAATTTCACAAAGGCTCCTTTGACTTGAGCAGGTTCTACTCCTGGCCCAATTACAGCTGTTAGTTCCTGAGTACCCAGCAACTGCAGGGTGCTTGGCCGTTCCCTGGCAGCAGTGGGGTTCTGTCACAGCAGCCATCAGTAGGGAGTTCCTGTCTCATTGCCGACACATGTGTTCTGAAAGCCAAGTGCAGGACGTGAGCCTGTGGATTCGGAGTGTGTCCAGGCAGAGATGCTGGCCCCAGCAGGGTCTATAATCATAATGGGGTCCACACATGTAGCCTGTTAAATCCTGCCTATCCTCGATAGGCATTGAGAAATGAGTGGCCCCGCCATGGGGCGAGGTGGAAAGAACCAGGATATGGCTATGAACAGTAGATACTAGGACTGCCCTGCCTAGAGTGTTGGAGCAGCTAATCAGGCCCAGGTAGTAGCCTAGGTCCATGGAGCGGACCCACACTGGAAGGGCGAGGCATGCTCATATGAAATATTGCAGGTCTTGCCTCGTTGACTAGCACCCAGATATGGTTGGCAGCAAAGAAAATGCCCATGGGCAGTTGGAGCTTGCAGGATCCCATAAATATATATGGGTCACTCGATCCTCATGGGGAAGGGGTGCAGCTGAATTCCACGCCATGTGGCTGAGGATGCTGCCTTATTTCCTGTTGCTGTCAAATCAGGCTCAGGTGCTAGAGGCGGGCAGCCATGGCTGTGGCTGTGGGTGGCTGAAGAAGGCAGAGGCAGGGGAAATGAGGCAGGGCCGACAGTTGTCCTGGTATCGGGTAGACTTTCTTAAATTAGCTGTGTGGAGAGGAAGTAGGAAAGAAGAGCCAGAAAGTCAGCAGCCAGACTCTTCCATACCATCTGGGATGGGAAGCAGAAAGCTGCCAAGAAAAACCATGTGCTGGAGCTAATTGGTAGGACTTGGAAGCAGAAGTAACACAGCACCCTACTAAATCAAGAGGCTTTTTTCTTTTCTTTTTGTTTCTCCTTTCTTTTCTGCTTTTTCTTTTCTCTTTCCTTTTCTTTTCATTTTCTTCTTTTTTCTCCTCTCACCCTTCCTTTCCCTTCTCTTCCCTTCCCTTTCCTTCACTTCCCTCTTCCTTTCATTCTTTTCTTAAACATATAAATCTACGGAGCCTCAAAGAAATGGCACTACTAAGAAATTACAGATCTAAAGATTCCAGATAATAATGTAAACCAGCGAGCCAAGATTAAGCTGAGTCACTTTTGATAGTTTCATGTAAGAAGATACTAACTTTGAGTGTGGAAGTTTAATTTTTAAAAATCTTGCTACAAATTGGATTCCTAATTTGTAATGCCATTTGAAGGGATATTATCTTTAAGAGAAAGTCATCGCAATTGGATCATTGCATGCCTTAAATTCTTAATTAAAGAAAAAATTACTCACGATAAGGAATAGTCAACTGTGAGGTCTATGCTACTGTATCGGGTACAACCAGCCACCTGGTGTAGCGAACACTCCATGTCTTGGAGGAATTAAGGAGTTTTTAGATAGATACATTCTTTTTAACCTTATTCACATACCTCAAAGGTCTCATAAAGAATTTGTACTTCTCAGGGGCAAAGTTTTTCTTTTTTTCTAGTCTGTCCCCAAGCACATGAGGGGACCGGGGCTTTAAGGAGTTGTAACCAAGCTGACAGCTAATGGTTTGAAAAGTCTGCATCTAATGAGGCATTCTCCTTCCCCCTCTTATTTCCTTTCCCCTCCCTCCATTCTTCTTTCTTTCCATCCATTTACTCTTTGCTTATGGCTCTAGTTCTTTTTATTATTATTTTTTCCTAAAAAATATCAATATAGGAAGGAACTGCTCTTTCCAAACTTGCCTATTATGTTTCTGTTTCTCTAGAGATAGAGGACAGGCATCATTAATGCAGAATAACACTTTAATAAACCTTTTGGTTATGAAACGTCTATATCCCAGACCGTCTTCTGGAATAGAGTGGTTTAAGACAACAAGGATATACAAATTTTGTGTAATTAATATGCCTTCATTGAGGGCAGAATTGCACATCTCAGATGACTTTTCTCCTACAAACAACTTTTTTTTTCTTCTATGGGAGCCTCAGAAAATATCTGCCTGGACTCAAAGTTGAAGAGACGTGGTTCTTTGGGAGCCGAGTTGACCTCTTCTCTGTGACCACAGAGAATGGTGTCTAGTGGAGACCTTGAGGATAACTTGACCCCTGGGCTCCAAGAGTAGCCAAACCTCCTGTTATCCCGATCAAAATGCATTTATGTCATCAAAGCTTAATTAATCATTACAATCTGTAATTAGAACTAACAAGTAGTGCGGGGTTCAAGCTTGTGCAGAGAGCCAGACGGCTGATGAGGTGACCCTGACAGTGAGGACAACATTCCTGGGGCAGTCCCAGGAGTACAGGGTTTGGATCGCTGTTTTCAGGGCATTATTGAGCATGTGAGCCTTGAAGGGTGGAGGAGCCTGGGGCACCTGGGTGTCTGGCACATCCATGGAGCCACTCTTCACACTTCCGTGTGCTCAGATTCTTGGTGAAAGGAGACAGGACGTCATTCTTGCCTCCTGCCATCAGAAAGGAGGCCAGCAGCAGGCCTGAAGTCAACTTCACGGAGGTGGGTGGACTGGAGCTATGATTTGAACAAAGCACATCCTTCCGATTGTCCACTTCCCTGGCCCCCTATTACTTACAGTTTGCTCTCCTACTAACACTCGATTTTACACTCTTCTGTTGATGCTCAGATTTCTCTCTCCCCATCCAGGTGGAACCTCCATGAAGGTATCCTTCCCCTACCAGGATTTCCGTAAATACCTGCAGAAGAGCAGCTCAGTGCCCAAAGTCCTGCAGTTTTCCACAAGACCTATTTGAGGTACAGCAGAACCATAGCTTAGAGACTTGGGATCAGAAAGTCAGAAAATGTCCAGTTCCTTAGCCCAGAATAGGCCACTCCACACCACGTCTAACCCCTTGAGGATCCACCAATCCCTCATTTTCCTAAAAGGCACTTGCAAGTCTGCACAGGTGAAGAAAGAAGATAATTCCCAAGAGTGCCAAAAAGCCCCTCCACCCCGACCCCCGCGGCAGAAACTGCCCCTTTTAAAGAGTCACACAAATGGGAAAAAAACACTGGATTTCACAGCTCAGCAGTTTTGTAATCAGAAAAATCTGGATTTGAGTCCCCAGTGTATCATTCTCCGGCTGTATGACCTTGGGTAAACTGTTTTACTTACATGATTTTCAGAACAAGTGGAGAAGGAGGAGTTTTCATTTCCATTTAAAAAATAAGGAAAATGTGGCTGGGTACAGGGGCTCACTCCTGTAATCCCAGCGTTTTGGTAGGCAGAGGTGGGAGAATCGCTCGAGCCCAGGAGTTTGAGACCAGCCTGGTCAACGTGACAAAACCTCTGCAAAAAACAAAAAGCAAAAAATCAGCTGAGTGTGGTGGTGCATGCCTGTAGTCCCAACTACAGGCTGAGGTGGGAGAATCGCTGAGGTGGGAGAATCGCCTGAGCCCAAGAGGTCACGCTGCAGTGAGGCATGATTTTACCACTTCACTCCAGCCTGGATGACAGAGTGAGACCCTGTCAAAAAAAAAAAAAGAAAGAAAATGAGACATGAGACTAACTGAGGCTATGGGAGTAAAATGTGGAGCATGATGCACATCCACATGCAGTATACAGAATGTGTTCAATATACAGAAGGTACTTGCTGTCATTAGAGTTTATTGCCTTGGAATAATGATGATGATGATATGAAGAAGTCTTACGTTTATATAGCTCTTCAACATTTACAGAGGACTTTTAATTATCCTCAAGAGAGTGGCATGCATTTAAGGAGTTGGTCCTGGAGAAACAGGCCTTGGCTTCCTTACAGGCAATTGATTTTTTTGTTTCAAGAAAGATAAGTCATTTCTTACTCCTTACTAACACTGGTGCTTCCCTTGTGTGCCACTAAACAGAGGCATGGTCTTGGTACAAAGCCCTGGGGAGAGCACAGCTATCTCCTCTTGGAACCAATGCACCCCCCTGACCAAGACCAGAGATTCCAAGAGAGGCAATGGTATGGAGGCCCCCCTGGGACATACTGTCCCAGACAAGGAGGGGCTGATGCGTATCTCTAAAATGGAAGAGCTTTCCCATGAACCCTAGTTCCTTATTCCTGGACCTTAAACAGTTTTCCATTTCATTGCTGTCATTTGGTCTTCTGCAGTGGGTTGAAAGGTCTCCTCCTCCCCATCAGAAAGCACACCCTCTAGGAATCTGTGACTGTCATTTTATTTGGAAAAAGAGTCTTTTCAGATGTAATTAAGAATCTCAAGATGAGATCATCCTGGATTATTCAGGTTGACCCTAAATCCAATGACAAGTGTCGGTATAAGAAATAGAAGAAGAGAAGATAGGGGCACACAGAGGAGAGGGCCATGTGAAGACGAAGGCAGAGATTGAAGTGAGGCTGCCACAAGCCAAGGGATGCCTGAAGCCACCAGAACCAGACGAGCAACGACGAAATTTTTCCCTAGAACCTTCGGAGAGAGAACATGACCCTGCTGAAACTTTGATTTTTGGAGTTCTAGCTTCTAGAACTTCAAGAATAAATTTCTGTTGTTTTAGCCACATCGTTTGTAGCAATTTGTTACAGCAGCCCTACCAAACTAATATACCTTCTCTCTCTCTCTCTAACACACACACACACACACACACACACACACACACACACATTTCCACCTTTAAAAAAAGGAAGAAGATGAAAACAACGTTAAGGGGGAGAAATACTGAATTATTCATATGCCCAAAAAAGGTAACATCTCCCCTACTTGAGGGCGAGACCCCTGGAAGGAATTTCTCCCTCCCTACTCTCTTTCTCTGCTCCCTCTAAAAGGTTGGAGAAAGGCTGGCAGGTTTATTCAGCTGTTTTACGTGCTTCCCCCATCTGTATTCCCTTCAAACTCATCCATTTATCTCAATCACAGAAGGGACTTGCCGAGCGAAGCCTGACATTTTCCAGTTCTTGGGTCTGTGCCTGGAATCAACAGCCCTCACCAGGAAGGCGGAATGAACTCCCGGGATGTCAGTGCAGAAGCCCTTGGGCTGCCTGGCTGTGGCTTCCCTTCCCTCCCCTGGAGCCATTGCAGGGTGATGCCAGGCTCCACGTGAGCAGATGAGTGCTCACTGAGCAGGATCATAAATCCTGCCTAAGCAGCCCTGGTGGCTTCAGGAGAGTCAACACCAGAATGGTCCCCTTCGCTCAGGATGGCCAACCTTTAAGAAAGGTTAGATGGATTTAAGGTGCAGCTTTGTGTCTGTTTGCTGGCCAAAATTTTAGTTTACCCAAAGCCCACAAGACTTCTGAAAGCTCCCTTATCCATCCTTGGGTCCAGGGTTTCCGTGATGGAGAATATGGCTCCAGTGTAGCTGACATCACTGGTTCATCAAATGAGCTAGACTTGGTGCAGGGCAAGCAGAAAAAACAAACAAACAAACAAAAAAACAAAAAAACTGATACTCCTCGTCATTACCGCAACTCGCTGACATATATATCTATTCAATTAACAGCTTTCCTGACCAGGTTTAGGTCTTAATAAGCAGTCTCATTTTTTTTTAGGTTTTAAAAAAAAAAGTCTAGTTTAATCTAATATGAAAGCTGTACGGTCTCCCATTTAAAGCTTCTTGCCCTCGTCCAGCATTGACCTGCATTAGTCTTGGAAACCCGCACTGGGGGAGATAGCAGAGCTGTCTGCTTCTTCAGGATTTGTCTCCCACCCTATACTCATCTCCCACCCCCCAGGCTGACTTGGTCTCCATGGGGAGGTAGAGGAAGAGTGGGGAGACAAAGTGCAGGAAGGGGAGACAGTGCCCAAATGCTAGCTCTGATTATGGTGAGTTCTGTGAAAATGTCCCTCTGGGGAGTCCCCTGGGAGTCCCCTGCCCACTGCATGGCTCACGGGTGCAGTGGTGCAGGGATGCCCCCTGCATAGTTCATGGGTGCAATGGTGCAGGTGATGCCCCCTGCATGGTTCATGGGTGCAGTCGTGCAGGTGATGCCCCATGGACCTGCCATTTTGATTGCTCCTCCCTGTTTCTGCTTTTGGAGATCCACCCTTCACAGACTCTTCATTTGTGGTCACTTCCAGCTGCAGATGGACCTGTTGGGAGAGACCCTTTCAAGACAGCTCAAGCCTCATGACCTTCTGCAGCATCCGCTCTGGTCCATGGTGAGCACGCATTCACCCCTCTGAACTCTGGGAAAGCAGGCTGCTCACACTTTGTTCTCCCACCCTACATCCAAGGGGGCCTCAGGTCAGACTTTTGTCTTCAGAATGCTACAGATGGGCTGAGATCAGGCACTCTCTCTCTCTGGGCCCTCCAGACTCCAGGGGCCACATCATGTTCTGCAAGTATTTCCCTAAAAGCCCCCTCACCTGACTTCAGGAACACCCATCATTTTCGTAACAGGGATGAGGGAACACCCGGCCCTCCAGACCATCAGGAATCCTGCCTTGCACCTGCTCCCTGATCACTCTCACCCCAGGTGCAGAGCCTGTCGGCAGCCCTGGGCTTGAGGTCACACACCTGGTTTAGGGGACCCAATAGGCAGTCCTTCGTAGATGGTGCAGCGCCTTTTGTAGAGTGCGGATGCATTTGCCGCCTCTGAATCTCCTCTTTGGGGCATCAGCAGAGGACTCACTGACTATACCTTCAGAATACTCTCATTCCCCCAGTCCTCCCTGTGGTCATTCTACAGCCCCTTTAACCCTCACTGCCTGGTGTCCATGTGTTCTCCGTTAGATCATAAGCTCCCCCATGGAATAACTGATGAACTCCAGTCCTAAGACAGGCTGGAGAAGGTACAAATTCTGTCAGTCAATGTCACTAGTGTCTCTGTCCCTCTGGGCATGGTGACTCTCACCTGTAATCTCAGTTACTCAGGAGGCTGGGGCAGGAGGATTGTTTGAGCCTGAGAGTTCGAAACCAGCCTGGGCAACATGACGAGACTCCACATTGTCTCTATCTGCCCTGGCTCCTGATGCCTTCTCCGGAGAGAGGGCTGAGATGGGGTCAGAGAGAGGAACGAGAGCAAGGTGCCTGTGGGCACCTCCGTTTCAGGGAGGTTCCTCTCCACCTGCAATGCAGGGCCGTGGGTGCTTTTCAAGTGCATACAAGAAGACTTGGACGCCACCCTGGAGAGTGCTTCCCTGGCTGAACCCCCAGTCTAGTCTGCATGAAGGAAGGCAGATTTCTCCTGATAACAATACTTTGACCCAAATCTCTGCCAAACAATGACCTGGGGCTATGATGCTACCTCTAGTCAGATCCCCCTTCAGTATGAATGGTACCATGTTCCAATCATTCCTTCTGCAGTCGCAACAGAGGAGCATTTTGTTTGTCGTCCCATTGGAGACAAGTGGGAAGTCACCTGGGGAAGAGGGAGAAGGTGAGAGGGCAGGAGTTCGAGACAGAGGAAGGGGCAGGAGCCCATTTTGGGAACCACAAGTGGTAACGCTTGGCTGATTGTAGCGTGCATGGGGGCATCCGGGAGAAGGGGCAATGGAGAAAGCCGAGGCTGGGGGAACAAGCAAGAAACCAATTATGTGGGGCCTTAATGGTCAAGCCAGGGATTCTCAGTTTTGTTCTAAAGGCAATGGGAATATATTAGCAATGGGAATATATTCAGATATTTAGGAATTTTAAACAGGGATGACATGAGCAGCTTTATGTTTTAGAACGAGTACTCTGCCCCATGAAGCGTTGGTGCCTCCCTGGAGGCAGGGAGGCGAGGTAGGAGGCTGTGGCAGACGACCAGGGAGCGGTCATGAGGCAGTGAGATTAAGAAAGTGGGATGCCTTGGAGAGAGAGCCAGGAGGTGAGGTTGACAGGGTGCGATGTTGGGTAGTAGGAGGTAGGAGAGAGAGGAGCCTGGCTTGGGGAAATGGGTGGATGGTGGTGGCATTCCCTGGGGTGGGGAACACAGCACGGGCACATGGTATGTGCGGAGGTGCACAGTATGATCTGGTTCCTGTTGGGGTTCCCCGCCCTGCTAAGAATGGTCCTGGGCCCCCACTTCACTGGATAGCCCTCTGTCCCTCCCCTGTCCTAATTTCACCAGGGAATAGCACAGTTGTAGAATAATTCTCAGGAGTGGCTTGTTCCTCCTTCCTCAGCTAGAGTCCAATGGATACACCCACCTCAAGACCAGATTGTCGTAGTGTTGCAAGGGGACTCTATCCTGGAATGCTCTTTGGGTAAGACAGCTCCTGCAAGGTGTGGTGTCTATATACGTTGGAATAAAAAGTAACTTTGAGGTCTATATATTGGATGTTCCACCCTGATTTAGCTCCATTTGGTCTACCATTTGGGGAAATTGAGCCCAATCAAAGGTCTAATTTTATCAGACGTACAAAGCTCTTATTTAGCTTTTTCTTTGCTGCCTTTGCTTATTTAGCACACTCAAAGTTTAAAAACTTAATAGACTGAAGAAAAATCACCTATGGCAGGGGCTGGCTAAATATCAATCCTGTTTTCTCTTCCAGGCACACTGGGAGATTGCATTTCCCAAATTCCATTGTACTTAGGCTGGGGCCAGATGACTGGGCTTTCGCCAGTGGAATGTGGCCGAAGAGATGCAAGCTGCTTCTGGGCCTGGCATGAAAGCCTGAACATGCTCCCTCTTCCCCTTCTGTGACAACATGGAAATTCACGTGTTTAAGATGGTGGCAGCGTATGATGGAAGGAGCTTAGATTCCTGAGTCACCTCCTGGAAGAGAGCCACCAAGCCACGTTCCATGTGATTTGAGTAAGGAATAGGCCTGTATTGTATCAAGCCACTGAGATTGGGGAGTTGTTGTTGCAGTTATTTATCCTAACGTACTATTACAGCAGTATATCAAGGTGTTCTGTGACTGGAAGACCTCTCTTCTGCTGATTTTCTATATTAAAATTTGCTTGCTGGGTCATGGGGTCATGAGAAGACAGACAGGACATCATACAACTTCTTTAGCTAAGCTCAGCCTCTCATTGTACTACTTTGAAAACAGAATGCACATATTTTAATGCATGTATGCACACAGACATATTTCTAAATCTTGAAGTATCTACTGGCTGACAAGCACAAGCTTCGAAGGAATTCATAGATACTAGACCACAGTCAAGAAAAACAGAGTTTAAAACGTCCGGTGCTTCCAGACAGGATTTTTTTTTTTTCAGAATTGGAAGTGTAATGACGACCCCTCATGGGCACACCCTCAGACCAACCCTCATCTCAGTACTTCTCTATTGGAGGGAGCGACTTCTGTTGTACCTTAAATATTCACCCTGTCACCATCATCATGGGGACAGCTTGGCGTATCTTTCCCTCCCTGCTCAAGGGTCAGCATGTAGGCAGTGGGGACTCAAGGTTAGGATGACCAGAGACGAAAGCGAGGAATCAGAACCATTGTGTATATAACCAGAAGACTGAAGTTACAATGCTTGACTATTTTTCTCTTCTCCAAGGGAGGGAAGTTAATTTTGTCCCCACTGAAGGGTTTTTTCATGATGTATCCTCAGCAGAGAGAAGGATGAGGAACCCATTTCTGTGAAGGGCCACTGAAACCACAGGCAGAAAAAAAAAAATCGCCATATAAGATTTTTTTTCGAGGCAGAGTCTCACTCTGTTGCCCGGGCTGAAATGCAGTAGTGTGATCTCGGCTCACTGCAGCCTCCACCTCCCGGGTTCAAGCGATTCTTGTGCCTCAACCTCCTAAGTAGCTGGGATTACAGATGTGCACCATCATGCCTGGCTGATTTTTTTGTAGTGTTAGTGGAAATGGGGTTTTGCCATGTTGGCCAGACTGGTCTCGAACTTCTGATCTCAAGTGATCCACCTGCCTTAGCCTCCCAAAATGTTGGGATTACAGGCATGAGCTACTGCACCTGACCACAGTATAAGATTTTTAAAACAATTATTCACATCCCAAAATAAATTATAAAAGCTCATTATTTCTAGTCCATAGCCATGTAAGAGAAATACATGTGGACCTGTTGGTATAGAGAAAGGGAGTGGTAGCTGGCCAGGCTGAGACAGACATGGTAAAGAATTGGGAAATGAAGGCAAGAAAAGAGCCCCTCTCTCTGTCTCCCTCCCTCTTTCTCTCTCAATTTCTTTGTTTCAATCTCTCTTCCGCTCTCTCTATGCACGTGCCCTAAAGCTATAACTCATATTTTAAAATGAGAAAATGTTATCTGAAACGTCTCTAAAATGCTTTACCTTCTCCCCAAGATCTGGAAACCACAGGTGCTTTGGAAAGTTTCTCTTTTTCTCATTTTCTGATAAAAAATTCAGGTTAAAAACCCCCAGCTCCAGGTTTTTAGTCGACTCGTGTATCTATAAATGAGCTGTGGTACTCCTCATTTCTAAGTATAAAGTCGTTCTCTCTTTTTCTGGTTTTAAAAACCTTTTCGAGCTAAAATCATAGATTTGAGATTTAAATTTTGTGTGTTGTTACTAGAAAAGCCACTGAAACATGTGGATTTATGCTCTGTATGCCAGATGGGAGGTAGTCGGAGCCAGAGCTGACTCATGGTTTGGAAGCTACATATTTCCAGTTTGGGGTTGTGTTGTTTTGCTTTTGTTTTTAAACCCAGCATTTTTCAATAGAGCTTGGGAGAGGAATTAGCAGAAGAGGATTCCAATCCATTAACCATTTGGGTGATCTGGATCCCTGAATTTTACAGCTCTGGACTGTATCTCCAAGTGGTCACCTAGTTCTTGCATTCAAAGCTTCTTGGACACTGACTGACCCTCACTGGGGCAGAGCCGCCCTAATTTGTAGGGTATGTTTGCCGGCTTGCTGTTGCTCACTGTCCTTTTTAGGCAATGGCCCCTCTGTCGCTTGACAGCTTGTGATCACCTGCAGAGGATGGGAAGCGACAGCTGAGCCTTGCGTTGAAGACATAAGCTTCTGTAAAAGGTTTGGGGAAGCAAATTAAATGCTGCCTGAATTTAGATGACTTATGGATTCAAACCCTACTTTTATTAGATTATTTGTGGGTTGAAATTCTAAAGTTAATTCAATCAAACGTCTAGTAAAAATATTACAAAATCAGCTACATGAGTCTGACATCACTGAAATGAGACCCCCTCACATAATTTGATTTTCTTTTCTCCTTACGGTGTCACTGTAGAAATTTTTGCCTTACATAGTGGGGAAGCTGGGGCCATGTGCCATCCAACATAACAACTGAGTTTAAACCAGAATCCCTCACCAGCTTCAGTTTGAATGTACTCAAATATTAGGCATTACATGGAAATAATACATACTGGATATTTAGAGACAGAGTCTCACTCTGTAGCCCAGGCTGGAGAACAGTGGTGCAGTCATAGCTCACTGCAGCTTCGAACTCCAGGGCTGAAGTGATTCTCCCGCCTCAGCCTCCCAAAGTGCTGTGATTACAGATGTGAGCCACTATACTCCACCGCACTTGGTATAGTCATACCTGTAAAATATCAGAACAAACAAGTATCCTTGTAAATAAGAAGTTGACATCTTGAGTTGGTTTTATTCTGAAAGTGCATATTATACATTTCCTCCACCATCATTTAAAAAAACTGAATGTTCATAATTGTCCTGTTTGTTGCCTCTGACTAATATGACTTACAACAAGATGCAGGGTCAGGACAAAATGAGAAGCCGAAGAATCATACTCTAGAGCTGGTTCGTGTGTATTCTGGGGTATTTATACTCTGCAAAAAAAAATGATGTTCCTGTACTTGCAGTGTGTATCCATAGATCATAGCTGAAATTCTACACCGAATGAACTTATCAGCTGCCTTTTCTCATCGCGTTCATTGCCTCTGACAGATCTATCCCCAGCTGGTGTTGACTTCTCCCTACGGTGCGGGGAGATCATTAATCTTGTATGTTCTCTTACTCCAAGGCCTTTTTTCTTCTTTGCTGAGGTTTTAAAACAGATTGTGCCTGTTTCTACAGGCCTTTGAGAGATCTGTCATGTGTCCTCTTTTAAGCAGGTTGTATAAAAACCAATTACCTGAGTATAGCTAGGGTCATGGGCAGTAATTCTGTTACCAGGGTGGGAGCCCTGATTTTGTCATCCTTCCCTATGTCAAAATCAGAGTGAGGGCACTACCAACAGAAGCATTTATTACTTAGCAACTGAGAGATGCTTTCAAGCCATTCTAATTGGTGATTCTTCTCCAGGGCTGGTGGAATATCTCCATCTTGCCTCCTGGGCTGCATTGATAAGGAGCTGGATACCTCACCAAATCATGAGTGAGAACTGCCCACAGTGAGTGAGAATGCAATTCCTGAGGGCCTCAGTCACCAGTGCAGACCTCCTTGTAGTTGAACTTGGCAATGGGCAAGTCTCTTGGCTTTGGAGAGAGAAAGGATTGTGTCTGCACAAGCAGAATAGAGAAGTGCAATAGAATGATCTAGTGGAGGCAGGTGTTTAGAGAACTGTCAATACTTGTTGAGTGAAAGAACAGGTGTACAAAACTGGACAGTACACCTTAGACTTAATAAGCACTTCCTTCCCAATAGCTGGTTATTTGTTTGTTTCTTCCCAAATTATTTAGGGAGTCATATCAACTGCCCATTTTATATCATTTTCATTTTCTGTAGCAAGGAACTTACTACTTTAGTATCATTATTTAAAAGTGACGAAGACACACCACTTATTGAATGTTTACACTGCTTTCTCCCCACATTAAAGCTCTTCGTGAGATTAAAAGCAAATGATGACAGAGTGCAGAGACCAAGGCTACATGCTCCCATCAGACTTACTCCTCCATCAAAACATCTCTCTTCCACGTTCCTTTTACCTGGAGCCTGAGAAGTGGGAAGTGACCCACTGGGGCGCACTCCATAATCTCCTTTAAGCTCTCATTCTGAGACTTTTGGTACAGGCACCAAACAGATTGCTTTACCACATTGACAAATCCGTGCTGAACCCTTTTCCGTGCTCACTTGTGACATCTTATTTGGACCCTCTCAGTCACCAACAGTGCTGTTCATTCTCTGATTGAATCCTTTCTTTGGGATTTGCAAAGCGCAGCAAACTCTTGGCTGTGACCTTGGAATAATAGTCTTGGCTCTCTCCTGGCTGTACCTTCAAGTCACCTGAGCGTACATAATTCTGGTTATATTTGGTCCTAAGACCCTTCTAAACTAATTCTGCCCCCGCTGGTGGGGGGTTTTACCAGGTTCAGCCCAACCCTTTGAAATGGAACAAACAAAAGGCCCAATCGATAGGGTGGTTAACAGGAGAATGTTCATGATTTGAAAAGAGTCCAATAACGCATATAAAAACACTGGCTTACTGTTGATCTCCATACACTTTTTTTTGTTGTTGTTGAGTCTGAGTCTCACTCTGTTGCCAAGGCTGGAGTGCAGTGGTATGATCTCAGCTCACTGCAACCTCTGCCTTTTGGGTTCGAATGATTCTCTTGCCTCAGCCTCCCAAGTAACTGGGATTACAGGCACCCACCACCATGCCTGGCTAATCTTTGTATTTTTAGTAGAGACAGGATTTCATCATGTTGGCCAGGCTGGTCTCGAACTCCTGACCTCAAGTGATCTGCCCGCCTCAGCCTCCCAAAGTGCTGGGATTACCGGCATAAGCCACCGGGCTCGACCTCCATATACTTTAAAAATACTACTGTTGTTACTGATAAAAGCAATAATAAAAATAAGTAGCTGCTGTGTTTAAAAGTGTTTGTGATTTGACTGTTGTGGGGATTTCTGTCTGGGTTGGAGGCACCGAGGCTCCCAGGGAGGGATGGCGTTTTCCTCATGATCTCTGAGGAAGCAGTTGAGCCTGTGCAGGTGGTGAGCACTTCTTCTGGGTTTACTGAGCACCTCTCAGTGCAGGGAAAAGTTTTTATTTTTTATTTTACTTTAAGTTCTGGAATACATGGGCAGAATATGCAGGTTTGTTGCATAGGTATACGTGTGCCATGGTGGTTTGCTGTACCCATCAACCCGTCATCTAGATTTTAAGCCCCTCATGCGTTAGCTATTTGTCCTAATGCTCTCCCTTCCCTCCCCTTACCCCCAACCCTTGACAGGCCCCAGTGTGTGACGTTCCCCTCCCTGTGTCCATGTTCAACTCCCACTTATGAGTGAGAACATGAGGTGTTTGGTTTTCTGTTCCTGTGTTAGTTTGCTGAGGATGATGGCTTCCACCTTCATCCATGTCCCTGCAAGGACATGAGCTCATTCTTTTTTATGGCCGAGTAGTATTCCATGGTGTATATGTGCCACGTTTTCTTTATCCAGTCCATCACTGATGGGCATTTGGGTTGGTCCCAAGTCTTTGCTATTGTGAATAGTGCTGCAATAAACATACGTGTGCATGTGTCTTTATAGTAGAATGATTTATAATCTTTGGGTAGATACCCAGTAATGGAATTGCTGGGTCAAATGATATTTCTGGTTCTAGATCCTTGAGGAATCGCCACACTGTCTTCCACAATGATTGAACTAATTTACACTCCCACCAATAGTGTAAAAGTGTTCCTATTTCTCCACATCCTCTCCAGCATCTGTTGTTTCCAGACTTTAATAAGTGCCATTCTAACTGACATGAGATGGTATCTCATTATGGTATTGATTTGCATTTCTCTAATGACCAGTGATGATGAGCTTTTTTTTGTATGTTTGTTAGAGTGTGGGGAAAGTTGTAAGGACTAGGGCTGTAGAGGAGAATCAGATACACAAGGAGCTTGATTGAGCTCACACAGCTTATATCTTAGTAGGTGAAGAAAAGAAGAAAGAAAAAGTACTTAAATAAGACATGTTTGGGTAGTCCACTGCCAGGAACCTCCCTGGGGAGAGAGTGCTGATGGCACCCCCTTCATCTCCTGCCTCTCCCCCTTCTAGAAGCCCTCCACCCAGTGTAGCCTCTACTTTTCTACTTTTGTTTGTTTGTTTGTTGTTGTTTTTTGAGACAGAGCCTTGCTCTGTTGCCCAGGCTGGAGTGCAGTGGCACAATCTCAGCTCACTGCAACTTCTGCCTCCTGGGTTCAAACTATTCTCCTGCCTCAGCCTCCCGAGTAGCTGAGATTACAGGCAGGCACCACCACGCCCGGTAGCCTCTACTCTTAAGCATTCCTCACCACTATGCCCAAAAGAAATAGTCAGGCCCCTATCCACAGACTTCTACCAAGGATGTGATCACTTCTGCTCTTAGGGCCTCATCTTCCTCATCTGTAACATGGATGGGTGAGATTTGATCTTAAAATCTTTCCTACCTCTATGATTTTGAGAATATGAAAAACTGAAGTGGGTGGCAGGGGTCAAAGGCAGCTCTCCCCCATTCTGTGCCTAGAAAGATGTGTTTCAAGTGTTGGGGAGGCAGCATTTTTAAGTTTTTAAGTCAAAGGTCATAGTTCCCCCACCATTTTTTGAACAGTGACTGATATGGGGCTGAGAGCCCAGGTACTAAGAAGTACCTGCTTATTATTGGTCTTGCGATCATCTGGACCATCACTGTTGTCACGGCTACCACACATCAGCGCTCCTGTGTGCCGGACACTGTGCACACAGGACACATCATCTCACCTAGTCTGTACCATAACCCTGCAAAGAGGGCCAAGTTCCCACTTCAAGTTAAGAAAATGGAGACTAAAGTAGTGAAGGAACTACTAGTAAGTGGCAGAACTGAAACCAAATCCAGGTACAGACGTCCATGAAAGGCACTCTTTCATGTGAGTGTTTTGGATTTTGCTTTTGTGCAAAGCCTTAGCCAAAAGGTGTTTATGAATCAGACACCAAGCAAAATCTCCCCTGGTTGAGAGCCATGGGCCTATCTCAAATCTCCCCTTCCCATGTCTTCTTTCCTATTTCTGTCTTATTTCTCCTCGCAGCACTGTTCACTCTCTAGTGGCAATGTGTTGTATATCTGTTTGCCGTCTGTCTTTCTGGCTAGAGCATAAAGTACATAAGGGTGGGGGCTTTGCTTTGTTCCCTGCTGTAATTCCAGCCCCTGGAGCAGCATCCGCTACATCACAGCTGCTCAATAAATACGAGTGAACTACTGAGTGTGAGGAGACAAGGTTGCAGAAAGGAGGAAAAAACTGCAAGGCCCCGAAAAGGAAAGGATGGGATGTAAAGAGAGCCAGAAGGAAGGATACAGGAGGCCAGAGGCCAGGAGTCCCTGCATGAGGATGGGTGGTGGGCCAGGAGGCAGCTGGTGCCCAAAGGGCATACAGGCGAGGGAGAAGCCCATCGGCACTTTGGTGTGGTCGGCAACACAAGCCTCTTTACCAAATCTCTCAAACATCTTTCCATATACCATGTAACAGGGTATTTTTCTGTTTTTTTTTTTTTTTTTTTTTCCAGGGAGTTCTATGTCCTCCCCTACTGCTGATTGCTGAAGACAGACCCCCCAGCAAGAGCATTTGACCAAATCTTGGTGACCCAGAGAAACACGTGTATCCACCAGGCATTGAGTCACATCAATGAGATGACACTCAGCCGGGCTCAATTCCCCAACCTGGTTTTCTTTACAGTTCACTTTCTCCCTGGGGAAGCACTGAGGACCACAAGAGGCTGGTAACGGAGATGACGTTAATTATAAACGGTGCAGTGTCCCGGTGAACATAAACCACTGGCTCATTCACAGTTATTTCTGAGAAAATAATTATTTTGCTTTTGCTGTAGTCGTTCTTTCACTGAAATCTAATGAGATGATAATGGGTGTGACAGTGTTTGTTAAAGTGCAGAGTTCCATTAAAATGTGGGGAAATGATATTATTGCTGTGAGAGGAAATGGCTGTTTTCTTTTGGCAAGGCTTTGGACATCAAAGTGTTTGTTGGCTGTGAAAGTGAAAAGGGCTTTGTGTGCACCCTGGGGAACAGATTCTGCCCCAGTTACTAAAGAATCCTTTTAAGGGTGGAAGCCAGGACAGTCAGGCAGCGCTTCTCTTGGTCTCCAGATGGGGGTGCCCCTAAGCCAGACACAGATTCCTCCCAGCTTCTCCCTGGACAGTTTCCCTGGAGCCAAGGAAGTGTCTGCCTACTGCAACTCGCCCCAAATAGCTTTATCAAGTATTGCAGGACACTGGGAAGATGAGATGGGGTAACACTGATGCTATATATGTCTTATATATATGTGCTTCCTAGCTCATGAGGTGCTCACATAGTCTAGTGGCCTTTGATGCTATTTTCCTGTACAGTGTGAGAAATATAAAGTCTTAGAAAGGAAGAAGGTCATCAAGAAAGAAAGAAAAAATGAGACAAAATGCCCTGCCATTAAGTGGATTACCAGTTTCTTTTGTGAAGTATGGTTTTAGTAATGAGAACATTATTTAGATAAAAGCAAGCATTTAGAAAAAGTCCAAAACCATAAAAACAAAAACTCTCTTCAAATTGCAATGCCCTTCATTTTCCACAGAAGCTATGTATTTCAAAACATGCCTGCTATGAAAATTCTGCCAAATAAGAATTAGGAAGTGATTAAAGTCTATGGCTTACAACTTTTTACGTACAGCCTGAATTCTCTACTCTGCTGCCTCTCCAACCACTTGCTGAAACTTTCTGAACCTCTATCATATTAAGATGGGTCTGAATATCCACATGATTAACTGGGAGGCCGGGAGGGAGGGGAACTAGATAGTACAATGGGTGAATAATGTAACATAGTACATAGAGAGTGCTCGGTACATGGCTGTGAATTATCATTATGCTTTAATGTGGGATGTGCATGTGTTTTTTTTGTTTTTGTTTTTGTTTGACAGAGTCTTGCTCTGTCACCCAGGCTGGAGTGCAATGGCGCAATCTCTGCTCACTGCAACCTCTGCCTCCCGAGTTCAAGCAGTTCTCCTGCTTCAGCCTCCCAAATAGCTGGATTACAGGCACCCGCTACCACACCCAGCTAATTTTTTGTATTTTTAGTAGATACAGGGTTTCACCATGTTGGCCAGGCTGATCTCGAACTCTTGACCTCCAGTGATCCACCAGCCTTGGCCTCCCAAAGTGCTGGGATTACAAGTGTGAGCCACCGTGCCCGGCTGGAGGTGCGGGTTTTCTATCCAGCACCTGCGGTGAGGTAAAGCCAGTAGGCAAAAATAATGACTCTGGGAGAGGGCTGTGGATGGCAAACTGCTGAGCTGTTAATTCTGTCTGCCTCAGGAAAAGGGCAAGCCTGTTAAGAGAATGCCTATAGGATGCCCACCCTACATTTCTGGCAGCAAAAAATAGGTTTTGAGCTTTCCCTGTGTGTATTAGACATTATGGGGGCCGTATAGGGGCATGAGATACTTGTGTAAATGGTGATTTTCTGGTTCTTGAGTTTTACTGAAGCCTCATTTATGCTGGTTGAACCAGATAGGGCTAGATATCTACTCTGAATTTTAGAGTTTTTTTCAAACAAGAGGGTCACTGTTGTAGGTTGGGAGTGTTACAAAAATATTATCATTATTATTATTATTTGAGAAACGGTTTCACTCCTGTTGCCCAGGCTGGAGTGCAATAGCACGATCTCGGCTCACCACAACCTCCACCTCCCAGGTTCAAGCGATTCTCCTGCCTCAGCCTCCCGAGTAGCTGGGATTGCAGGCATGCACCACCACTCCCAGCTAATTTTGTAATTTTAGTAGAGACAGGGTTTCTCCATGTTGGTCAGGCTGGTCTCAAACTCTCGATCTCAGGTGATCCGCCCACTTCGGCCTCCCATAGTGCTGGGATTACAGACGTGAGCCACCGTGCCTGGCCAAAAAATATTATTTTTATTATTTTATTATCTATTATTTCCTCCCTGCCCCTGAGCAACAAACCATTTTTTCTTAGGCCCCATTTTCTCAACAACTACTGTGTCTGGACATACATTATGTTAAAGCAATGGACTACTTCATGAACCAAATCTCTGGTTAATTTAGTGTGAGAGGATCGTCATGCAAACATTCCAAATAAATGCTCTTTATGCTGTGAGAAGTCACAGAATTCTTATTTCTGTATGGCTAGCTCATTGATTCAGCCTCACTGATAAGTCCTGGGGGAAAAAAATACATGTTTTTGACCCTTCTGAACTCTGCCTATCACACAAGAGTACTGTTTCTACACAAACAAGGAAAGAAAATCCTTAACAGAATAAGTATTCTATGGCCTGGTGACAATTAATAATAAAAAATACTATTAAGAAGTTTATACTGGCTGGGAGTTACTGGGTAATTTACTCACTTGGCAATTGTTGGGGATGATTCCACGTTGCCCTGTCAGGTGTTTACTTAGGAGCTCTGCCCGGAGGAGCTGTGTCTTGCTCTCAGTCTCCCTCTGTTGGCTGGAACATGGATCGTTCTCTCTCCGAGGACTGAAGAATAATGACCTGCCTGCACAAATATTCAGCAGGCACGTTATGCTCTTCTGGACCCCCCACCAATGAAAGGCTTATTTGGATTTCAAATTAACAAATTTTTAATGAATGCACTCTTCACTCTTTACCTGCCTAATTTCTCTTTCTAGCACCCATCTGACATATATCCACCTATGCTCCTAGACTTATGAACCCATCATAGGCTGAAAATACCATAAGTCGAAAATGCTTTTAATAAACCTAGCCTACCAAATATTATAGCTTAGCCTAGCCCACCTTCACATGCTTGGAACACCTACACAAGCCTGTAACTGGGCAAAATTATCTCATACAAAGCCTATTGCATAATAAGGTATTGAATATCAAATGTAATTAATTGAATATTGTACTGAAAGTGAAAAATAATGGTTGTATGTGTACTCAAAGTAAAGTTTCTACTGAATGGGTATGGCTTTTGCAACACTTTAGAGTAAAACAAAAAATTGTAAATGGAGCCATCATGAGTTGGGGACCATCTGTATTTATTTATCTGCCTTTTGTCTGTCACCCTGATGAGACGGTGAGCTTCATGAGATCAGGACCTTTGTTTGGTTCACTGCTGTATTTTCCGGGCCTAGAAGAATGCCTGGCACACAGTAGGTGGTTTATGAATGTTGGCTGAATAAATGAATGGGCACCAAGCACAGCTAAGAATTGGGTACTGTGATAAAAGATTAATAAGACATTGTTCTGGCCTTTTAGAAGTTCATAATCTAGAATTGGACCAAAAAGCACTATGATTGAAGGAAGAACTGTTGACACTAGCCCTTTATAATCTAGAGGACACTGGCCCTAGGAAATCATTCACACTTATCTTCAATATTTGAAGAGTTGTCTGTGGAAGAAAGATTAGACCAGTTCAGTTTATTTCTAGAGAACTTTCCAATTGTTAGAAGCTACAAGGCAAAAATTTCAGCTTGACAAAAATCTCAGAATTGTCTGAAGTAGTTTTGGATTGCTTTGCACATCATGGAAGTCATTTAATCATAAAAACTCATTTTCCTTAGCCCTTTCCCAGACATACTAAACCAGAGTCTCCAGGAGGAGGTCCCAGTAATCTCTATTTGATAATAAGCTCAGAGGTGATTCGGAGGCAGTCGTCTGCAGACTGTTGTTAGAGAATCAGGGATTGGACTGGGAGACTCAGGTATCAGAGGAGTAGTGGAATTAAATGATCTCAAACCATAGTATTTTATGGTTCCAGCCGAGCACAGTGGCTCATGCCTGTAATCTCAGCACTTTGGGAGGCTGAGGCGGATGGATCACCTGAGGTCAGGAGTTCAAGACCAGCTTGACCAAAATGGTGAAACCCCATCTCTACTAAAAATACAAAAAATTAGCTGGGCATGGTGGCGCATGCCTGAAGGCCCAGTTATTCGGGAGGCTGAGGTAAGAGAATCCCTTGAACCTTGGAGGCACACGTTGCAGTGAGCAGAGGTTGTGCCACTGCACTCCAGCCTGGGCAACAAGAGCAAAACTCTGTCTCAAAAAAAAAAAAAAAAAAAAAAAAAGATTTTATGGTTCCAGAAGTTCATGGAACTCTCTTCTTAATAATGGTAATGTTACTCATTGTAGTCTTTGCTGGGACTGCTACAAAACTAGAAAATTAAATCAAGAAGGTCGGCATGGGAGTCTGGCAGATGCTTTAAGTAACATGGGGTAAAATTCCATGCATTCTACACCCTGCAGAGGGTAGAAGTGATTGACCTTCAAATATCCACGCCCAAATAACCCACCTTACAAATTGCTGTAATGTAGTCAAAGTCAAATTTGTAGTGATGATTTCTACATATTTCATTTCTAATTTAGAGCACTTGGAGAGGAAACTGAAATAATGGGTCAACTTCTTTTAAGGAGAATTATCAAATAATGAAGTGTTTGTTGAACTGATATGGTTTGGCTGTGTCCCCACCTAAATCTCATCTTGAATTATAAGCCCTGTAATCCCCACATGTTTTGGGAGGTAATTAAATAATGGGGGCTGTATCTCGTATGCTGTTCTCGTGATAGTGAGTGAGTTCTCACGAGATCTGATGGTTTTATGCACTGTTTTTGTTTGCGGGAGGTTTGACAGTTTATACCAGGAGTAGGGAAAGGAGTTGAAGGTTAATTGCTCACCCTTCTAAGCTTTTAAAGCTAAAAACATTTATTTAGGAACTCAGACGAGGAGGAATGGGGAGCTCTTATTATAGAAGTCCTAGCCTGCACTGACTCATCCATCTTAAGTACTCATTAAATATTAGACGTGATGATTGTTTGTTGAGCGCAGAATTGGAGAGTGGCACAAAGATGAATAGTCTATGGTCTCTGCTTTCAAAGACCTCGGAGTCTAGCCTTGATGATGTAATCACAGTGAATGTGACTAGTGTTATATTAGAGGTTCTTAGGGCATGTGGCAGGGGGAATGTATAGAGGTGTGTGTCTCCAACCCAGTCTGACCAGAGATGGTATGAATGGGGCTAGTTACCTTCCCTGACCAGGTCATTAATTTACAGGGGTTGGGACATCATTGCTTTTATTGGTTTGTTTCAGATTGGAAGAAGGAGGAAAGGCTGGTGCATGGTTCCCAGGATGCTGAAGGGAAAGACAGGAGTGTGGAGGGGAAGGCATGGCTCCCTTCGCTGCCTGGTCTGAGAGGTTGGACCTCCAGTGAGAGGGAATACAACCAGAGGTGAAGGAGGGTCAATAAGACCTGGAGTACACGTAGTGGGGTGTTTCAAGGCCCTTGCAACCTAATAAGGCACAGAGCGGAAGGACAGCCATTTTCCCATGGTCTGCCATATGCCAGAGCAGCCCAGGGAAGCAATTCGGACCAGGAAGTGTTGAATTTTCACAAGGGCATCTGCCATCAGGCAGAGAAGGGTGCCTCCTCAAGGAGACATGGATTATCAGAGACTGAAGCTCACCCATGGAGGTGTTGCTGAGCTCCTTTATGAGAGCCCTTGGGGACACACAAAAATAACCAGGGGATAATTTGAGGGTGGACTTAGTTCTAGGGTCAGCGTTTAAGAAGTTGATAAAATTCAGGTAATCATGATGCAGTCATGCATCACTTGGTGATGGGGATATGTTCTGAGAAACGCATCGTCGGGCGATTTTGTCATTACACGAACATCATAGAGTGTACCTACACATACCTAGATGGTATGGCCTACTGCACACCTAGGCTGTATGGTATAGGCTATTGTTCCTAGGATACAAACCTGTACAGCACGCTACTGTACTGAATACTGTAGGCTATTGGAACACAATGGTACTTATTTGTGCAGC